GTGCCATCATCCGTTACATCCTCTCCTAACATGCCCTGCTCGCACCGTTGGGTATTTGCCAGATGAGCGACAGATGCAGCAGCCTGAGGTGAGTAATAGACTACCATATGAACCACCTACAGAGCGGTGTACTGAAAAGGATATTTCCACCAGGACGAGCTATTGCAGACGAAATTCTGCAGCAGCTAAGCACCCTTGCTTTGGACCAATCACCGTTGTCATAGAGAGGGAATAAACACTATGGAAACTCATGAAACCTGCCCAATGCCTTTCTGTGATGACCCGCCTGAGATCCGGCCTTGAGCCGAGAGGATTGTGAAGGGATAGCGCATGCGAGTTTTTGTTTTCATACGTATGATGACAGTCTGTAATGCAGTCATGTACGGCACCGGACATGTCGTGTCCAATTTGTAGACGGGCTGGAACGACAATGTCTTTACAATTGCGGTCGGCGTGCCTCTGTGTTTCTAGCATGTAGGAGCCACGTTGTCTGTGACATCTGTCTACGCCGAGCCATTTGATCCAGCAACTGCGACTGCGAGAATTGGATGCAGTGCTTCCACAGTCCACAGCCGAACCGGTCTGGTCTGCAGGGGTGGCAACTTACCATAGGCAACGTCTGCTGCTCAACTCAAAATCTTATTCAACCCAAACACTAGCTGGCCTCATGTGTCATTCTAGAGTAGTCTGCTCTGGCGATGCGTATTTAGAATCCTGTGAAGTTCTTCACATCTCTGTCCTGTCCTTTGCACTCCACTTCCTCCCCTACCCTTTCTCCCTCCCCAGCCCCTTACTCCCTACAGAACTCCACTCCTTCCCTTTCCCTTTACCCTCCCCTTCTGTGCTACTGGCAAACAACATACGAATGAGCATCATTAAGAGAACAGACAAAGTATAAGCTGAAGATCTTAATTGAAATGAACAGGGTATATGTTCCCCTTTGCTCTGTGTGGCATACTGCACAGACACACGGGCCTGCAAGGCCCGACCAGACGGAAATTCAGGGTCCTACAGGCCCTGTGTCGTTTCAGCCTAAAAGCCTGAAAACAAGGGCCTACAGGCCCTGTGTCGTTTCAGCCTAAAAGCCTGAAAGCGAGGGCCTACAGGCCCTGTGTCGTTTCAGCCTAAAAGCCTGAAAACGAGGGCCTACAGGCCCTGTGTCGTTTCAGCCTAAAAGCCTGAAAACGA